GTAAAAAGTATTTATTCCCTTAGTTTCTCACAGAATCAAATTCCTACTTTGTTTTAACACATTTGGGGAAAAAAATGGCAACTTAATAATGAGAGAGTAAAAGCTATGTATGGTTCAATAATGGAAGAGTGGGGCGGGGCGAGTTACTCAACGCAAAGCTGGCATGCAGCAGCAGCTTCCCATTATTTATCTTTCTCTGCACGCACCTCTTCATACTTTAATATCCTCACATTCTCTCTCGCCTGGATCCAATTTGCCTCTTCTCAGTGAATGTCTGATCTGAAAGGATCCTCGAAGACGGGGCTCATCTTTTTTTTCTTCTTCTTACTCTATAGTCTATCCCCTCCATTTAGTTTTGTTTTTGTTTTGTTTTGTGGTATTATATATAGACAAACTCACAAGTCACAGCAACTGTACGTGAGGAGGAGGCTTAACTTGAAGGTAAAGGTACAAATCAGTGGTGGTGTGTCGGTCCTTAATTAATTAATTATTACCCCCCTCTTAATTCCTACTACGTATTTTAATTATCTCAAAATACGATACATAAATGAATTACTCCGTATATTACCCCCTCTTATTAATTATTCACCCCCCCCCCTACAAACTCAATTTATAAATGAATTACCCTCCGTATATTTTTCCAGCCTCTAAAAGAGAAAAACATGAATAGCCTCCGTCCCAAATTATTTGTCACATTTCTATTACTGAGGCAAAATATCAAGTTTTTTCAATTCATTTTATTTACATATTGATAAAGAAATAAAAATTAAAAATTACAAATCAAAAAACTACATGAAAAATTCTTCGAATTAAGAGGTGTCAAGAATATTTTATTTTATCAAATAACCAATGAAAATTTAGAAATAAACAAAAGTTCCCGTGTCTGTTGAAAAAGCAAATGTGGCAAATAATTTGGGACGGAGGGAGTATTTAGTTAAGAGAAAAGTATTACCTTGCTTAATCTTTTCTTTTTTATGAACTTTTTTTTTGTTGAGTGATCGATAATTTTAACAGTTTTTGTGGATGCCGTGTGGGGCTCCAGTTTGTTTATTTAGATGTATGGGACATCGTTGCTTTCCGCTGCTGCTAAAGTGTGCACATTCATTCGCCTGATGCCCAACAAAACATTCACAAACTTTATAAACTTACCATTCTTTATTTAAATTCTCATATAAAGTTATTTTAGCCTATTTAATCTTTTTTATTGAAGTTCACAAATAAAAAAGTTTGTGAAGTTTATGAACATTTTGTTTTTGACCCAAGCATTTCTTTTCGCGCCTAATAGCTTCACCACTCCCGTGCTTTAAAAAATAGACACCAATATCTCATCTATTTTCAAAAATTATTTATAAAATTTCTAGGAAAAAATACTAAAATAAAAGTAAAACAATCAAAATATACCAAAATATGAGTTAAAATGCATTTATAGAGTCAATCATGACTGCATACATTACTAAAAAGTATTTTGAAATGTTCATTTATAGTGTTACATGAAGTTATATGTGCAACATTTAAAAGTAAAACATGGAAAAAATATTGAAGTAGGAGCATCATATTTTTATCTCTAAAATAGAAGTACAATGACAAAAATGCTACTCCCTCCGTCCCATTTTAAATTGTGTGTTTGCCTTTTTTCTCCGTCCCAAAATAAGTTGCCTGTTAGTTGTTTTCGTAAACTTTTAAAAATAAAATACCTAAACTACTCCTAAAATAAGTCACACTTCTTCACCTTATCTTCTTATTCATCATCACCCCTTCTAAAAAGTAATGTCAATGTCGGAAAATCAACTCTATTTTTTACTTTGCTTAAATATGCCCAAAAGTCAAAATAGGCGATTTAAATTGGGACGGATGGAGTAATATATCTATACTATTAACAAAAGCAAAAGAAATGGAAAGGGAAAAAAAAAGAAAAAATAAATAGAATGTTTTGACTCTTGGACTTCTTTGTTCATTGCATAACTGCCGTATATACAATTATACATTGCATCAAGTATTGTGTTTTCACATTCTACATTTATTGCTCTGTGACTCTGTGTCCCTTCGAAATAAAAGAGATCTATGAAACCAATGATTTCATATTGGAACGGTGCATATGTGCTTTAAATAACAACAAATACTCCGTATTTGAGTTATTATTTTTATGGTTTACTTATTCAAATATTTGAGTTAATATTAGTTTAAATATTTTTTTAATGGTTTTACCTTATTTACACTTCCTTATTGTTGCTCCCAAATCAAAATGGGAAGTCTTTTTGCAAACGGAGGGAGTAATAAGAATTGGAAAATACACTATGGAGTATTTTTTATGATGTCAAATATTTTGCCCCTGATGTGATGGGTAAAAGTAAGATGTGGTGGATAGATTATTAGAGAAAAAGTATAATGTGATAGGTAGGATATGAAAAAGTAAGGGTAAAGTGGTTTTTTAATAGAAAGGAGAAGTATTTTGTTGGAAGTGGAAAAAATGAAAAAAGAAATATTTCTGAGAATGGAGGGAGTAAATCTTTTGGAGTTCCATTGTTTGAATCGGTGTAGTTCCAATTTAATGTTTTAATACCACAAATGTTTATGCACTAAAATAAAACTATCCCCATCCCTAATTGATTGATTGCAAGCAAAAAGAATTAATGAGAAAATAAGAGTGCTATACTTAATGAACCGTGTAGGAAGTGTTATATTTTTTTCAAAATATAGCATTTAATGTTTTCGAATTTGTAATTGAAGAGGCAAAATAAACAAGAATTATTATATTTTTTTCCCTTTATGCTCCTTATGGAGAAAGAATAAAGAGAACAAATAGGCTTTGTTTGATATACAAACTTCAAGATAATGTTTTACATGTGAATTCAATATATTTATTTAGTGAAACTTGCACTAAGTAGGACTAAAACATAATGACTTTCTTAAGGTAGGATTTAAATTTTTTTATTTCCTAAATAGAACTTAATAATGTCTTAATGGGAGGAATAATATCCAGTAATAATGGACATTTACTTGAATAATGACTAATTAATAATGACCAAAGATCCTACATTGAAAAATAAAAACATATGGTTCTATATTGAAAAAGTAATTATGTTTTAGTCTTATTTAGGTAAATTTCTCATTTATTTATACTTCTATTACTTTGGTAATACCAGAAACGTTTGCACACTAAAAACAATTCAGAAATGCAGGTCCCAATTAATTTTTTAATGATAGAAATATGTCCAATTTAATGTTTAAAATCATAAAATATTTGTCACCAAAAAAAAATTCGAATCCCTGAATTTTTAAGTGCGTTCGGAAATTTCGAAGTTCTAATTAAAGAAGCAAAACAATACGGAGTATAATTTTTGAGTTTCATAGTTATGAAAAACGTGTATTTCCAATTTAATGTTTAAACTCATAGAATCTTTGTCACCAAAAAAACTTTTCGAATCCCCAATTTATTAAGTACAACAAAAATAATTAATGAATGAAAAGATATTGGAAACATAACTACGCTCTTTAGTATTAAAATTATTGCTTACCCACTTTAACCAAAGAAGCAAAGAGTCAAAAAGCTTTTGGAATTGCACTGTTATATTGCAGCCGTCTAGACCATATTTAAACTTCTAGAATTTTCATTTGTTTTTCCCTATAAAAATCCATTCATTCTTATCATCTACGGAGTACTTATCCAAAATTTCTTTCCAGTCCAGAAAAAAACATTACACATTTAGGACTTATACAGAGCTTGGAATTAACAGAGGAGTTGTGGGATAAACATATGGAGGTATCTTTTTTATAGTACTTTATTAGAAATAATTTATTTTGACTAAAACTGATTGAATAGAAAAATGTTTTTAAGATTCATTTACGGCATGCAAAATTGTATTTGAAGAATAAAAATTTTCCTAAAAAGTGATTGCCCCTTTGTTTGGATTATATGAGAAAAGGAGAGGATCGGAAAGAAAATGAAGAGATGAGAAAATGAAAAAAAAAGTACGTACTTTTGATTGGATAATGTGAAAAATGATATAAAAGTGATGAGAAAAAACGAGAAAAAAAGTAAAAAAGAAAAAAAATGGAGAAGGTATAGTTATAGTGGAACCAAACGAAACAAATCACCATTGGTCGAAGGTAGAGTTGAATTATTCTCTAATTCTTCATTCAATTTTGACCATGAAAATGGTTTGTATTATTCATTTTCAATAAAAAGGATATATTACAGAAGTTATATTTAATAGAATTTTTAGATAAACTATCATGAAATAGCTATGATGGATGTATCAAAATGTGAATCTAAACAGCACTTTCTGGACTCTAAAGGTAAACCTTTCATACATAACATTTTTCCCTATGTGTATCAAAATTTTTGGATAAATTACAAAAATAAATAATGAAAAATGTAGATAATCACAACTTATCGATATCATTTTCTAAATTAAATATGTTTGCGCCAGTATTCAACCTTTCTGCGTCCAATCCTTAATAAAAAACAAAACCCAAAAGAGTTTAAATCCGAGCAATCGAAACCCCATGCATGTTTTTAAAAAATGTTATTTTAGATCTACATGATAATTAAAAAAAAGTGATGAAAAATGTTGAATCTTGCTTCATTGGCACATCTTACCGATATCATTTCATAAATCCAGTGTTTTTGAGATAGTATTGAATCTTGCTTCATTGGCACTTAAATAAAAAATTCAAAAAATTGAAAATAGAAAATCAAATCGTAGCAGATAGCTTAGATATGTGCAATGGAAACCCCATGCATGCTTAAAAAAAGTGATATTTTTGATCTACGGAATTGTAATTTGAAATTCGAATGGCAAATTACATATTCATTTCATTTTTTTTATTCTTTTTTTATTTTTAAAATTTTTGTAAATAATGAGCGTGGTATTCGTTCAAGATCTGAATTCATAATTGACAAATCAGATTTAGTGCCCAATGAGCATTTAATTTCATTTATTCTAACACTATTAGCA